GCAGGTAATTTGACATCTTCTACAAGACAGACGCATCAAAACCTCTTCATACTAGATTCTAAGATGGATATCTGGAGACTGTTTTGCTAAAGATCTACTCTACAGTAACCCGTATTAGTAGCTGAATGAAGTTTTCACTTTTATTGAACAGTAACACTCTTCACACATATCATTAAAATTCTGTGCCACTACATGAGATTATACGACTATTAGTATAGTGAGGAAGCGACATTAGTATAGTGACATTTGGTCACTACCTAACAGACACTTGATTCCGAAAAAAGCTATTGCGATCGAAAAATGTTTGATAACATTTTTGAAACTTTTGAGATATTGTTTCTTTTTTTTTCCCAGTGTTAGAGAAAATCTTTTGCATACGTTTATTACTCATTAATATCAGTGTTAATAATGTAACATAGATATACATTTTGGTGATGCTAGCTTATAGACATTTATGTAATTCGATACGGTTTTGGACTCGGGTTCTTTTTCGACCTTTTTTGCCAAAGACCAAGAAAGCGACACAAGTTTGGCGTGTCAATAGAAAATGGCTACGTTTACCGTACATATAGTGACAACGGTCAGATGCAGACGGACACTCTCGAAACATATCGTCTAGTTTGGCTCGATGTTCAGACAAACAAAAGTAACTACAATTGTGTACGATCATCAACGCGCGACAATTGCGTACGTCATTTGGGCGCGACATTTGAGCTCAACGATAAGGAAACAAATGGCTAATGATAATGAGCCATATTCACATCCTGGTGAGGGCGCTATGTGTTGGCGGTCGTCTTGTGTGGACAGATCGCAAGAAAACAGTGCCTATATGCAGCGATCTTATCAGGATGTGAATATGGCTTATTCTTAAACTTTTTGTTCATTTGTATCTGTCTAAGAGAATGAATCATTGTTTGCTTTTTATCTATTTATATTAATTACTGGATACTTTTTCTAGCTTTAGCATTGATAACAGTTATCTTGTTCTTGTTGAATATGAGAAAAACCTGA